GCCCTTGGTCCTCGCCGCCCCAGCCTGACGCCCACGGGGCCCTGCACCCCACGCACCTCCCGCTTGCTCTTGGAGAGGAGGTGGCTGATTGACCCGCAGGGAGCGTTGGAAGAGGAAAAGAGCTTTCCTCGGAGCGTAGGACCCACGCCGCACCTGGGCGTCCCCCGTCGACCCTGTCTCTGGGTCGCCGCCCGTCTGGGCGCAGCAGCCTGCTTCGCCTGTCTCAGGCTGCAGAAAAAGTTCACAGTCCACACTGAAAGTCCTGAAAGAATTTGCTACAGTTTAGATTTTACACTGTACCAGCCTCAAGCAGGTTCTTAAGTTGTGTTGACAGCCGGAGGCTATTAGCGATGCAAATAGACTTTTTTTTTTTTTTTTTTTAAAGTCAAGGGTTTGAGGCTTTGAGAGATAAGCTCTCACTGTTAGAGTTGTAAATTCTGTGTTTGTGAGGACTTTGGCTCCTCCTGGATAAAGAACAACGTGCATTTATTTATCCCAGTGGTATCCTCAGCTTCTGCTCTTTTCTCGTCTGTGGATAACTTTGTTTCTTTAATGCTTTCCCTCCAGGCCTGTGGAAAGTCTGGCGGCCATAGAGCAGGAATGTCTTTGACAGCAGGACCAAGTATAACTTTTGGGAAATTGTGTGAGTTAAAATATCCTGGTATTAGGCATAGGAATCATATTTCCTTTGCAGGCAAATGAGGACATGAAAATATGGTTTGGGCACTCTACCAGAACCCAAGGCTCACTAATAACTTTCTGAGAGGTTCTGTGTGAATTAGGGATGCAAAATTTGAAGAGGACGTCTCCATGTCCTGTATTTCGCAGAGAAGATGGTGATTACCTTTTCTACAGTTCAGTCGTTTTGCTTCTTCCATTTATTACAGTTCTCTTTGAAACTCAGCTGCACCCTTCACCTCCACGTTTTCTTTGCCTGTCCTTGTTCTCCCATTGCACTTGTAAGGGGATCAGTCACTGTTGGTGGAAGAGTGGTAGCAGTGTCTTTGACTGGGTTACTGGCTGGGCCAGTTTCACGCCTGCTTTGCTCTCCAATAGCTTACGGTTGTTTATCTGATAGGCCCTGAAGTTTTTAATGTGATCCTACAGCAGATCTCAAATATGTTTAGGCAGTATGGAGTCTTGGCTTGGTGCAACTCAATATTAGGTTACAGCAGGCATTTGAATTTTCCTGTGGCAAAGACTGAAAAGGCGGTGAACTTGAGAATTATGAGGTTTGTCTTTGAGCTTGCCAATGCGCTAAATTTCACCTGTCCAGACCTCAGAACAAAGACGTTTTCTATTCATTAAAAACAAGTTTGGTTCTTAAGTGGCGAGGATGATGCTTTTGTATTGATTTTTAAAAATTCTTTTGTGAGAAATGGAAACTAAATTTGTTGGAGTGAAAAAGTAAATCTGGGGTCCTAAGCAATCATTTGCTCATCTAGCAGTCCTTAAGTTTTGAGTGCTCCTCTAAATGTGAAGATACCACTCCTGCAAATTTGCTTTTCTTCAGCAAAGGGTTTGTAATATGGAACCTGTTTTTATTCTTTTTGAACTTGCTGTTCAAGTCTTTTAAGGTGGCCCCTGACTAAGGAGTATTCTTTATGGATGCATTTAGAGGTGGTATGGGTAGCTGACCTATATAAGAATTGTTAGGACATAGTAGCCTTTTTTTTTGTTGTTTTGTTTTGTTTTTTTGAGATATGGTCTCACTTTGTAGTTGAGACTGACCTGGAACTCACTATGTAGCCCAGGCTGGACATGAACTCACAGTGATCCTCCTGCTTCAGCCTCCCGAGTGCTGGGATTACAGGTGTTTGCCACCATGCCTGGCTCATAGTAGCCTGGAGAGGTTATTTTAAAAAAGAGCCATACAAAGAGGAAGGTGGATTATCTTATTACAGATATATTGCGTGGATTATCTTATTACAGATATATTGCTACATGATGTATTTAAATGAAGTGCTTGGAATAGTAAAATATTTTTTCTGCCTTATGCCATACTTTTTCTCCAGTCCATCTCTGCCCTGCTAAAGTTCACCTTGTCAGAGTCCTGGCAGTTTGCAATGTCCACTTCCATTTTATTAGCCATCTGTATTCCAGTCTCTTTACAGTCTATCCCCTGACCTTTTTTCCTAAAAATAGTAACCCCACCCCTTTCTACCAGACCTTCCTTGACCCCTTCTGGATTTAAGCTTATTTTTATTCTTTTACCCAGTCTGCCTTCTTCCTTGCCCCTGTCTTTTCATGCTGCAGTCTTTGAAGCCAAACTGAGAAATTGCTGTCATGGGATTAGACATCAAATGTCTGTATGATTTATAAATCTGATTCTTAGGGTTGATGCATAGTAAGTTTAATGCCTGTGGAGATGAGGACCAGAAGCTAGAATGATATGCCCATAGTGCTGTGTGTGAGTCATTTAGTGTCACCCAGAAATGATTCAGTCATTGTATATTCTGTATATTCTGTTTCTCTAGCCAGATTGCAGAAATCTAGGATGTGTTAGAAACCCCTAAAGTTGATTTCTTTTATTACGTTTCTCAGCACTTGACATAAAACTCTATGCAGAGAAATCCCTCGGATTCCTTGAGTAAATGAACTCTACAGTATGGATGTTTACCGGCACTTCAGAAGCAACACAGCCTGGAGTAATTTGGAGAGTGTTTCTCGGAAGAAACAGAGGCTTGGGTCCTGTCGTGTATATTACCATCTTGCAGTGCGTCTCTGAGGTCGGGTGGTATAAATCCTCCGTCATCATTGAAGACAAAGTTACCTTTGGTCACCCAGCTATGCTGTAGTTGACCTGACCTTGGAGCACAGCTAGTCCCGAGTGCAGTGATCTTTCCATTACACTGCATTAGTTCATTTTTTTTTTCCTCCTGATACTAGATTGCTCTTGCCTTAGCTCTTGGTCATGGCGAGTATAGAAATGAATCACTTATACTTGAAAATAGTTGACATCTCTATGGATTTTTAATATGGAAAACAGAATATTGATTTGTTTGTATTTAAAACTCATATTTTTTAACCTTCCAGGAAGTTCTAAGCATCCTATCGCAACACAATTAGACTAGAAATGCTTTTTTTTTTTTTTTTGAGACAGGGTCTCTTTTTGTAGTTTAGGCGTGCCCTGAACTCATTCTGTAGCTCAGGCTTGCCTCGAATTTGTGGCAGTCCTCCTGCCTCCACCTCCCAAGTGCTGGGATTACAGGTGTGAGCCACCACACCCAGCTGAAATGCATTCTTTTATACATTTAAAGTTTGTTTTTCTAAAGGTCAGCTGAAAGTAGGTATAAGACAAGCAGTCGTGTTTAGATAATGAATCAGGTGGCAGCTTGCCTCTGAAGAAATACTGTTTCCTCTGGAGGTTGCCTTTCTTCTTAAAAGACTCTGACGGCTGTGTGGTCAGTGGGGTAGATATGATGCAACCAGAGAACAGATGTGAACTAAGGACATGTGTCATCAGCACCACAGACGTTCCGTACTGGCATGGCTGTCCACGGAGGGAGGGGTGGAGGGTAGGTAATGTGATTCTCATGAAAGTGTTCTGAGGAAGCCATCAGCTGGGTGGGAGTCAGGCTGGAGAGCCTAGAGTGTAGGCTGGTCAAATCACTGGTGTGCCTCTTTTAAATAAATACCCTTGGCCCACAGGCCCAGCGAGTGAAAATTTCTGGGTGTGAGGTCTGCGAATCTGCAGATTTAACCAGCTGTAGCGCTCATGCACTATAAAGATATTTTAGGGCTGGGCACCGCTGAGTGAAGAACAAAATTGTGCTGGTAGAGGAGACTTTTTCGGAAGCTTTGGACTGTGGAACAAGTGCTGTGTGTTAGAACTTCAGGTTGGGTGTTTAGACCTGGTCCTTAGGAGGAGTCTGAGTGTTAGAATGTATTTTAGTATATAGAAAAGTAGGTGGGACCTGGGAGTTTTGAAGAGGACAGAATTAAAATGAGTTGTCTTCCTAGTGACCAGTTGGGTTTGGGTAGGGCCCCTAACGAACTTGAGCTGTATAAGAGAAACCCAAAATGGGGCTAAGTGAAGGGGTTGCTACCCAAGCCAAAAGGACGGTGGGGGCATCTTTTTCTTGTGGGTACCTTTCTTTAGGTCTTCATTTTTGCTAGCCAAACCTAGTAAAATGTTATGTCTGCCTTCTCAACCGGGGATGGAATTAAAAAAAAACTTTTTACAATAAACACATCACCAAGAGTCATGGGATGGGTGTGTTCAAACTGAAGGAGTATTTTGAGAGGGAATGGTATCAATATGTCTTTTATTGCATAAGTACTGATAAGTACCATGTGCCACTGGAGCTGGACAGTGTATCTTTTATGGGAATACATTTTTAATGTAAACATTCACTGTATCCTTTGATCACCCCTCAATGATCCAAATTTCATGGCAATATCTATCAAAGAAAAACATAATATGTCCTCATCCACCTTCTTGACTGGCACCGTGGGACGTCTAGCTTTTTTCCTTGTTGTCAAAATAACCACTGCACATAACATTTTGAATACTGTAACTCAGGACATCGAGGCAGCCATGACAACACAACTAAAAACACCCATGACAGAGGAGGACTTCCAGAAATGCTTCAGAAAGTGTCAAGAACAATGGGGTAAGAGTTTGGAACAGAGGAGAGGACTTTGGTAGGGATTCATGGCAGTGCGTTCTACTATAACGAATTAACAACAGCGTTTACCATGGCTTTCGTCTTACCAACTGTATTAGATTTGATTAACACCTCGATTTAATTCCTGAAGATTTTTGAGGAAATGTCATGTTGCTGCAGTTGTATGACATGACAGTCACGTGTTCCTGTGCAATACATTGGTACCTTGATTCACGAATTTAATTCTTTCCATGATTTCTGGTTGTAAACCAAATTGGTCGAGAACTGAATCAAATTCAATGGTTAGGT